CAGAAGCTAACTCCGAAATCAAAGGCCGATTAAATTCCATGGATAAGCGCTTTGAGACGATCGATAAAAGCATGATGTTGATGTCGCAAACCCTAGCTCGGATTGAGGCGAATCAATTTTCCGAGAAAGCGGCAGGGAAAGCAGTTGCGACGTCGTCCGACACTGTGAATGAGGTTAGTCCATCTCAGACTGAGAACAATCCGGTGAACACACAGTTAGGTTATCGGGACATTAGTAATGTACTAGAGAATAGATCGGGTTTGCTGAAGAAGATAGAGTTACCGATCCTTGATGGTACAAGCCCGTACGGTTGGATAACGATGGCTGAAAGGTTCTTCCGTTTGGGAAATTATTCCGATGTGGACCGTATGGATCTGTTGTCAGTGAGTTTACAAGGACCAGCTCTGAATTGGTTTAACAGAGAGATGGAGATCAATCCTTTCAACGACTGGACACAGTTTAAGAAAAGACTGATTGCTAGATTCTGCTTAAAGGTGGAGGAGAATCCAGGAAAACGGTTGTTCAGCATGAAACAAACAGGATCCATCGTGGATTATGTCAATGAGTTTGAAGAATTGTCCACGATAGTCAAAGGCGTTGATGAAGCAAACCTTGAGCATGTATTCTATATTGGTTTGAGACCAGAAATGCAAGAGGTGGTTAAAATGAAGAAACCTCAGGGTCTCACAGCTCATTTTGAGGCGGTTATCTCTATGGAAGATAGCGTTTTCTGTAAATCTATGGCAGATACAGCTAACACGTCGGGGTCAAAACGGGTTTTCACCTTTGTTCCATTAAAAAGCTCATCGGTTTACAACTCTCAGCGAACTTGGCACTCTTCAACTACACTACCTGATACTTCGAAAGGAAACTCTCAAGTACCAGAGCAGAGTACAGGCGTGAAGAGTCAATTAAGTGGGAAACCACCATGGAGAAACCAAACGAGTGGACGGCCTCAAAACAAATTAAAGCTAAGTCCTGAAGAGTATGCTGAAAAACGAAGGCTCGGATTATGTTTTTACTGCCCTGAGAAGTTTTCAAGAACCCATAAATGTCAGAATATGGAGTTACAAGTGTACACCGTGGTAAATGGGGTTGAGATTCCACTCGCTGAACCCGAGTGGAGCATTACACTAGAGGAGGAGGAAAGCGAGATTACAGAGCTGATGGAGTTATCTCTGTTTTCATTCTTGGGCTTAGACTCGCCATGCACAACAAAGCTGTGGGGGACAATTGACAAAACAGAGGTTGTTGTGATGTTAGACAGTAGAGCTTCACACAACTTCATAGACCCTTCGTTGTTAACTAAGACAAATCTTTCGCCAATACGGGGACAAGAGACTTGAGATCTTGTTAGGAACGGGGATCAGGGTGAATGCATCAGGAGTGTGTAAGGATGTTCAATTCAATCTTCAATCAGTGGATTATGAGGCTGATTTTATTCTGTTGGAGTTGGGAAAGGTTGATATGATATTGGGAGTGAAGTGGCTACGTACATTGGGCAAATGTGAAGTTGATTGGGATAATCACGAATATTCCTTTGTATATAAAGGTCAGAGAGTGACTTTACGAGGAGATATAGCATTAATGCAAGGAGAAAATGCTTTGAAAGCCATCGAAACAACGGATTACGCTCAACATTGTGGGTTTGATATAGAGTTGTTTCACACATCACCAAGCGTAGACACTCTTATGATTCCCGAGCAAATTCAGTTGTTGTTGGCAGAGTTTCAGAACATCTTTGCTGAACCTACACAGCTACCACCCCTGCGAAATAGAGAACATGCCATCAATCTAAAAGCAGGAGCTGGACCAATAAGTGTTCGTCCGTACCGTTACCCTCATGCCTACAAAGAGGAGATGGAGAAACTTGTAACGCAAATGCTCGAAGCGGGTACGATTAGGCCAAGTCGTAGTCCCTATTCTAGTCCGGTTTTGCTAGTAAAGAAGAAAGATGCAAGCTGGAGGTTCTGCATTGATTACAGAGCACTGAATAAGGTGACAATACCAGATAAATTTCCCATACCGATCATTGATCAATTATTAGATGAACTTCATGGAGCACAAATCTTTTCAAAGTTAGATCTTCGATCGGGTTATCATCAGATACGAATGTTGGAAGGGGACATCGAGAAAACTGCTTTCAGAACAGTAAATGGCCATTATGAGTTTCTGGTTATGCCCTTCGGGCTAACCAATGCACCTGCAACTTTTCAAGCCTTGATGAATGAATTATTCAGGCCTTTCTTGGGTCGTTTTATCTTGGTATTCTTCGACGATATTCTGGTTTTCAGTCCGTCGTTAGAAACTCATTTGGAACATCTAAGAACAGTTATGGAGATATTTGTTGAACATAAACTGTTCGCCAATAAGAAGAAGTGCCTTTTCGGTCAACCACAGGTGGAGTATTTGGGTCATGTAATATCTCGAGATGGAGTAGCCACAGACCCAGCTAAGACAGAGGCGATGAAGAAGTGGCCTGCACCAAAAACGGTTAAAGAGCTGCGTGGATTCTTAGGGTTGACCGGGTACTACAGAAAATTTGTTAAAGGGTATGGTACAATTGCTCGTCCCTTAACAGAATTGTTAAAGACAGATCAGTTCGAGTGGTCAGAACGAGCTCAAAAAGCATTTGAGATTTTAAAAGAAGCTATGCTTACAGCTCCGGTGCTAGCATTACCTAATTTTGAGGAAAGCTTTGTTTTAGAATCTGATGCTTCAGGGTACGGATTGGGAGCTGTGTTGATGCAGGGGCAAAGACCAGTTGCATACTTCAGTTCTGGTTTATCCGACAGAGATCAAGTGAGACCCATTTATGAAAGAGAGCTCATGGCTATCGTGTAAGCAATACAGAAGTGGCGACATTATTTGTTGGGAAGAAAGTTCATAGTTCACACAGATCAGAAAAGCTTGAAATTCTTATTGGAGCAACGAGAAGTATCCTTAGAGTACCAGCGCTGGCTTACAAAATTACTGGGGTACGATTTTGATATCATTTACAAGCCAGGAGTAGAAAATAAAGCTGCAGACGGGTTGTCTCGCATTGTAAGAGAAAAATCAAATTTACATGCCCTGGAGTTGTCAGCTTTAACAGCTCCAACAAGTTTGCACCTGCAGGACATTCTCAAAGATATCGAAAAGGATGAGAAAATACAGGAATTGCTTGTAAGAGTGAATGCTGGTTCTGAAACACGAAAAGGCTATTCTGTGGTGAAAGGGCAGTTGATGTACAAGAACAGATTGGTCATTCCCAGAAACTCTAAACATATCCCTCAAATTTTGCAGGAGTACCATAATGGTTTGGTGGGAGGGCACTCGGGAGTTTTGAAAACTCTCAGAAGAGTGAAGAATCTGTTCTATTGGAGGAAAATGAGTAAGGACATTCAGAAGTATGTGGCTGAATGTGATGTATGTCAAAGACATAAATACTCAACATTGTCCCCTGCTGGTCTGTTACAACCGTTACCGATTCCTGATAAGATATGGGAAGCGATTTCAATGGACTTTATTGAAGGCTTACCATTGTCTCTTGGAGCTAATGTGATTTTTGTTGTGGTCGACCGACTGAGTAAATATGCTCACTTTATCAAGCTTAAGCATCCCTTTACTGCAGCGGATGTGGCACACAAATTCACTCAAGAGATAGTAAGACTTCATGGGTTTCCTCTATCGATTGTATCTGACAGAGATAAGATCTTCTTGAGTTCTTTTTGGAGAGAGCTGTTTCGATTAGCAGGGACACAGCTAAAGTACAGTACAGATTTTCACCCTCAAACGGACGGGCAAACTGAGGTTCTCAATCGCTGCCTAGAAACATACCTTCGTTGTTTCGCGTCTTCACATCCTAAGTCGTGGAGCAAGTTTCTGACTTGGGCTGAATTTTGGTACAATTCGAGTTATCATACTGCCATTGGAACAACTCCGTTTAAGGTGGTTTATGGGCGAGATCCTCCAGATTTACTGAGATTTGAAGAAGGTTCAACGGCTAATTTCGAGTTAGAAACGATGCTGAAAGAACGTGATGCTATATTGAACCGCCTTAAGGATAATCTTGTCATCGCTCAGGCTAGGATGAAAGACAATGCTGATAAACATCGCCGAGAGCTGGAATTTGTTGTTGGTGACAGAGTCTTCCTCAAACTTCGTCCGTACAGGTAACAATCAGTGTCGAAGCGTTGGTGTCAAAAGTTAGCAGCAAAGTACTACGGACCGTTTGAAGTTATAGCCAAGATTGGAGCAGTTGCTTACAGGCTTAAACTTCCTCAAGATTCAAAAATTCATAATGTTTTTCATGTTTCTCAGTTAAAGCCAGTTCTGGGAGTTAATCACGAGGTGGTTCCCTTGCCAGAATCGTTACACAATGAACCAGATGTGGTTATTGAACCTGAAAGCATTGAAGATACTCGTTATGACAATGAGGGTCACTTAGAAGCTTTGGTTAAGTGGACTGGCCTTGAAGAACATGAACGCTCATGGGTTACTGCAGTGGATTTGATGAAGCAATTCCCACATTTAGCGCTTGAGGACAAGCTTCGTTTTGCCGAGGGGGGTATTGCTAAGCCACTTAAGGTCTACGTAAGGAAGAAGAAGCGAGTGATAGAAGAAGAAACAGAGTCGAAAGATGCTGAGCGGGAATAAGAAGAGCTTTGACTCAGATGACGTGGATTTGTTTGTTGCATTTTATAATTCATTGTATATAAAGAATAGGGAATACATTTTACGGGTTTTCATCGAGAACTTGGAAAACAGGGGTCACAGGAGATAGAATTCTCTGTGAAATCAGACGATCATCGAGAGCTTGTTCTCGTGATTGTTTTGGGTTGATCGTCATCGGAGAGTCTCCGTTACGTATCAATCGTGTATTCGTGTGTTGAGTGAATAAAAGGATACTTTTCTCTTAACAATCTTCTGCGAAACACATCGAAGCCTGATTGGTTATTGCGGTACTGTCTTATAGATTCTTGGGGTAAAAGCACATTCGATGCAACTTGTTACCTTATGGAAGATAGCCTATTCCGGAAATGAGCAGGTTTCAAGTCTCCCATTGATGAACATTTGTCTCTCTCTCTCTCTCTCTCTCTCTCTCTCTCTCATTGGAGCTCTGGTTCTTACACTGATCACCACTTTTTTCTGTCTTTACTTCTCTCTCCTAAGTTACACTTTTAAACATAAAAAAATCTGATGTTGTACGTTGCAGCTGCTAATTGAAGACAAGAGGAGTCTTAAGGCCTCTCGAACCAGAGGTCTATTTGCCAGGTAACTTTCCTCTTCAGTACAAGCGATGTGTCTGCATATGGAGACGATGATGCTGATTTGTTGTGTTTGGTACATACAGCTTTGGATATATTGCAAGCATACGATGGCGAAGACAGAATAATTTTCTTCTGTCTGAAGAACTCTGTATATTGTTTCTCTGTAACTTGAAGACTAAGCTGAGGAGGATAGAGGGAGTATACCCAAAAATAAGAAGAAGATAAGAGAGACAAGCCTCAATCCTTGGATTGCGAGATTGGAACCATGTAGATGTATGTATTATATCATATGTATAAATGTGTGTTGTACAGAAGAACTCATGTCCACAAACATAAATGGACTATAGTAAGTGATCATACTGTATATGTATATACAAACTTAGAATCTGTTAAGAGCAATTCGGAAAGTAAATAAATAAAACTGGTGAAAAATGAGTAATTTTTTGGCTGTTAAAAATTCAGTTACTACAAGATTGATTTTGAAAATTTGAATGTCGATGGTCTATAAGATTTTCACATGACAAAGAAAAGGCCCACAAAAGAACAGAAAAGGATGCTGGATAACTTGGATTACGTGTATATACAGCTACTAGCAAAACATTTAAGTAAAATCACATAATTGTTATTTCCAAGTGCTGCCATTGATCACCCCAAGTAGCTTTCCAAGAGGAGAGTCTCTTATTCTTTACCAATTTCATTTTCCCTTTCAGTCAAAAATAACCTTGGGAACGGTTGATTTGACTAGTTGGATGAAACTCCATCTATAAATTTACCCACCGCTGCATCATTTTATCCTCAACCTAAAGCAAAGACAGATTTTACTCCTCATATACTATAACTAAAAACTCACGTCTTCAAGAGATCAAGAAAATGGACAAGAAAAGCGATGACGGAAAATCTGGCACCGTAGCACAAACCGGTGGCAATGGATCTGGTACGGGGAATATGGTGGCCCCGGGGACCGGAGGTGCAGTGCATGTACCTCGAGATGCTTTCGAAGCAAACACAAAGGCTTATTTTGACAACCTTCATGCTAAGGACAAGACAACTAAGTGAAAAGTGTTTTAATAGTTCAAAAGCATGATCACCTTGTTTGTTTATGCTCCTATGATGTGATTCTCCTCTTATGATGATCATATTATTTAAATAAAATGAGACGTTTTCTCTCATCTTTCTTTTTCCTGTTCTACATTTTATTACGCTACCATTAATCCTTCTTGGTCACTTTGCAAGTAGTTCTATTAGGTGACTTGTCCCCTTCAAACGTAATTCAGCAAGTAATAAATAATTTTAATTTTTAACAAGATGCGATTTTTATGCATAGAGATAACTGACCAATTTATTCACTATGGATGCTGATTCGTGACTCCGGAAATTAATTAAAAATATATATACAAGTATAAAAAAAAGGTTATTCGAAAACCAAATCTAAGATACGTCTGGTTTTTAAATTCGATTACACTTTTTTTTTTTTTACGTTTACTAGAGTCACATCTTCTACTTATGAGAAAAGTGCACTGCTAAATCGTAGTATATCAAATTATTTCGTATTGGATTTCAGTTGACTGTCGGGTCAGCTCATAATTCATACTACTATATCTGATGGTGAAGCCATATTATATTCCTTGTCGAAAATCTCACAACACTTAGGTGTTTACTGGAAAAAAAAAATACATTTGAGAATCTAATACTTATTTATATGTGTTCGCTGAAAAATAAACTTAAGTAGATATTATCATATTGATAATGGGACTTTCAAGGTCGACGGTCTATGAGTTTCTCGCAAGTACAAGTTACGAAAATATTTTAACTTCTTGTAACTTTCCAAGACAGTCTTTTGCCTTTTTCCAATTCATTTTCTTTTGCAATTAACTAAAACTGCTTTTCACGATAAAAGGTAGTATCAACTTTGGGAAGTGTAAATTTGACTAATTTGAACAGATCCCATCTATAAATTCTCCAACCTCTCTCCTTCGCATTTGTTCTCACTACAAAATCAAAAATCGCATTTTACTCTTTCAAACGTTCCAAACTCACATTTCACGAGACATAAAAAGAAAATGGACAACAAAGATGTTAGCGCAAATGCTGGCTCTGTGGCGCAGACCACCGGTTCAAGCAATGGGGCTGCTTCTGGTTCAGTGAATATGGTTGCGCCCGGGTCTGGTGGTTCTGCCAATATCTCTCGAGATGCTTTTGAGGCGAACCCGAAGCCTTATTTTGACAATCTCCATGCCAAGGAGAAGGCCGCTAATAAGTGAAAAAGTGGTTTATTAGTTGATAGAGCATAAACAAATATCTGTTAATGCTTCCATAATGATATATTATCGTTAAATAAATGAGATTTATCTCTATTTTTATTATCGTTAAATAAATGTGATTTCTCTCTATTTCTATGTTGAGTTTTTATTTGCTTCTTTTACTTTTATTGCGTTGAGCTATTTGACTATTCTCAGCAACCATCAATCGTCTTGCTAGGTTCCTTGGCATTTACGACTTTACATGATTTAGCAAGTAATAATTTGAAAATTTGACCCCAACTCTAACAAAAAAAAAAAATTATTTTGAATATTCTGCCATCTATACAGTTCTTGATATAATTATATATAAACTGAAGTTTCCAGTTCAACAGATTCACAATAAGTGGCAAATTTGACCAAACCTATCCAAATTAGACCATCTTTTAGTGAACTGATTAAAAGCATAATTTATTTTATTTATATACATTGCAAAAAATATTGATGAACAATTGCAGCCAAACTAAACAAATTACTATAAACTTGAAGTGACAATTCAGGCTAATTCCATTTCGATTGCTACTTATTCTAAGCTTTCTGGGGTTTGTTTGTCTTCTTTCATGTTTATACAAATGGAATTCTAACATGTGGCAAAATAAATGTACCACATTTTTAATTCCCAGAAATGTATCAACACTTTGATACTACCCACGAGAGAATATTGCTAGACTTATTTCTATGACTACACAGACAGATTTTTCAAGAGTTTAAATGAAATTCATTGTATTTAAGTAAGTAGCATTTTTCCATTTTGAACTATTCAGTTTTAATCAGTCATGGTGAATATAATATCTTGAATCACCCGAATTTTGATGTAAACAAAGACAAAAACTATAATACAGCTTCATTTCATGTAGAACTAAGTTCTCTATAGTGTTTATTTTGCTTTTGAACATGCCTGGTTATTTATGAGTGAACTTAGAGAAAATAGCCTTACTTTCATTCTCCTAAACACGACCCTATTTTTATCACTCACTAGGTGATTTGTCAATAACTTATCCAAAAGTATCCTGTTATACCTCACTCTTACAAAGTTATGTAATCATTAAAAGCCAACACTTAACCTTATCACATATAGATAGATAGAAATGTTTATCATCATAGGAACTGAGTAGAGAACTAGTCTCACAATGAACTTGTCAGAATTTGTTTGATTTAGTTATCCTTTTGAACCTAGATCTTGGGATCTCCGGTCACATAGTTAGGTTTTCCATCAAACTTCCTCTTAATTCATAGGTTTTAAACATATTCTTCTTGATGATTTTACAACTTGATCTCTTGACAACCCTTTAGTATGGATCCGCTAGGTTGTCCGTTGATTTGATATAATATATCGTGATTACACCATCTGAGATCAAATATCTAATGATTTTATGTCATCATCTAATGTGAAGAGATTTACCATTGTAAAGATCAGTGACCGAGCTATAGCCGATTGAGTTTACACGTAATGCTGGCACTGGTTTCTCCCACATCGGGATATCTTTCAAAATTTTTTGAAGCCATTCTACTTCCTCTATGGCTTTGTCTAGCACTATAAACTCGGATTTCATTATGGATCTGGCTACCAGAGTTTGTTTAGAAGATTTCCAGGACACTGATCCACCCCTAAGCATAAATACATATCCACTTGTGGACTTTGAGTTCTTAGAATCAGATATACAGTTTGCATCACTGTATCCTTCTAATATTTCTGGTTCTTTACCATAGTGAATACCATAATTTTTGGTATAACATAAGTAATTTAATACTCTAGTTATTTCTTTTCAGTGATTATGTCCCATATTGCTTGTGTAGTGACTTAGTACGTTTACTGGGTGCACTAGATCGGGTCTAATACAATTTGTTAGGTACATTAGACTTCTGATCACTCTTGCATACTCTAGTTCTGACACCAATGTATTAATAGTACTTCAGTGAATGTTCCAGCTAATAAATTGATATTATAAGTTATATTTAAATTATAATCTAGGTTTATAACTCGCACTATGTTTTTTTGGTTTAATTCTTTTTTAGCTTCTATCCTAGGTTTATAAAATTCTTTGTTCTTTTGGTTTAATTCTTTTTTAGCTACTATCTTTTAAATTATCAAAACTTAATAGATTTATAAAAAAAATCTTTTAATAAAATATATAGTTTTCTATATTTTTATTTATAAATTTCTAAATCTTATTAAACAAAATAATAACAATGACACCTATCGAATTATTCAATATTGATGTACACATACATTTACATACATTTGATTTAGAGAAGGATTTTCTTGCTAAGATCCTGATGTTTTGTTTTGTTTTCCATATGATTTCTAAAGTTTTTTTTCTTTAAGGTTTACATGTTCAAATATTTAGTTTTTATTGAATGTATCATTGATGTTTTGTTAGGAGGCTGCAATGATCATGCAAAGCCGTGTTTTGCTTCTCCACCAGGTCCTCCACGAGTTTTAGCTTTTATCTTTATTCAGACAATTTTTTTTTTGCAATCTAATATTTGATAATGTTTTGTTTTGAAACATATAGAATTGGTGGTGTGGAGTCTTTGCATTATTTTTTAGTGTTTTTATCTTTTGTGTGTTTTCTGCATGTTTTGTTTTGAATATTTATCTACATATACCAATCTATGTTTTATTCATAAATTTGTCATACTTTATTAAGCTCATTTGTTGCTGACATTAAAAAAAGGTAGCATAGACATCAATTTAATTTCTTTTACACGAATGCTTTTTCTTTGTTAATTATTTTTTCTCATATTAATTTTCATTTTAGTTATAATTCTGATATGGAATTCTATAACTATTCATTTTAATTCTTATGTGGAATTCTCTCAAAAGCTTATATCATCATTTGTTTTTTAAGTTAAATCTTTTATGTTGATTTAAAAAAATGTTAGCCTAAATATCAAGTTAGTTTTCTTTTATATGATCTTTTCTTTTGCTAATTTACCTCTTTATATATTGATTCTTATTTTATTTTGAAACATATTTTTTAAAAAATATTGACATTTTACACACATAGTTTTATTTTTTATTTTTTTCTGATAATGAGACTATTTTATATTAATTTTTCATTTTGATATGATAGTTTTTTATTTTATGTATTTCAAAATTTGAATACTTTGTATTGATTTAAGATTTTTATATTATTTTTTTGTTAATTTAAAATTTTAGTTATTAATTTCTATTTTTTTGTTAATTTCTATTTTGTGATATTGAGTTTTTATTTTATTTTGATAGACATTATAAACTTGTGATATAATAGTGATATCGGTGGAAATATAGTTAAATAACTTGGTTATATCACTAGTACAATAGAGTTAAATTTGGTTTTATTTAAAAGTTTGGTTTAATTTTGTATTAATTGTACTATCAGTTTAAAAAAAAATCAGTTAAGAAATAAACAGTTTTATCCTTAAATAACAGTTTACACTATATATTATGTGTTCTAGATCTATAAGCTTTAAGCTATTGAGGACGTCCACATATGATGAAGAAATTTGATTTGATTGGTCCCCAATAACGTTTTTTTTACTAAAACATGAAAAGTTATATATGAATTATGTTGAACCAGATAATTACCACTAGAGATTTGATTAACAATTGTGGGTTTCGAAGAACAAGTTCTTTATTAATAGCTCAAAGATGAAGCGATTACAAGACATGGCTTAACCGAAAAGTTATAACAAAGTGAAAAGAAAGTTGACACAAGATCAAGGGTGATTAATCTTGTTGGTGGACTGATGGAACCGTCTGATGGTCGTATGACTCGTTTAGGCCGGTTAGTGAATGGGTGATGAATAGAAATGGGCGAGTATGGGATCAGGGGATGGTTGTACAACTCGTTCCTTCTGATCAAGGGATGATATGGATGACTTAGTAACAAGATGGAGCGAAGCCGCCACAAAGCTTTATGGGTATAAGCCTTGATGAGATAAACACAAACTCTTAAACAAAGAATCTCTCAAGTGTTTAAAGAATTTGCAAAATATTTTCTCAAAGAAAACTCGGTTTATTTTATTGATAAAAGGTGAAAAATACACTGCTGTGAGAGGGGACTTTATAAACAGTCCAAACAGCTGTTGCCCTTCTTGGGGTCTTGAATCAAATTACACTTAAAGCAAACACAACTAATTGAATCCGAAATAAAGATAATTGGCTAAACATATGCCTTGACCAACTAATGAAAGTTCAAACTAAATCAACACTTAAACATAAGACAATCACAAATTAATTAGTCATATACCCGAAGGAAATGAAATGATCAATTTGGTACATACCTTGATTTTTATTGGTTTGCTTGGTTTATTGAAATGCTGCGTTTCTTCAGTTTGCTTAAGTGTTGCGTTTTAAGCTGATCACATAGGTGGCTGGATGCTGAATAAGGTAACTCCTTTCTTTTCTGGAATGATCGGCCATACCTTTGTATATTGCATACTTTTTATGTCTTGACCGTCGTATACCTCCTTTGCATCATTTTGGCGCGTTTCTAAGGTTTGAATGAAGCCGTGTTCTTCAAGTTCCATCCTTGCTTGGGAAGCTTCTTTAGATATGCTCAGTTGATCAAGTTGAGAAGTAATGTCTTCAAGCTCTTTGTTGGTGATGAGGGTTTCCATAGCTTGGTTAAATCCCTCATACAATTCTCTAGCTCCTGATCTTGTTCTGGGAATGGGGGTGTTTGTCTCGTTGTGAGTTTCTGATGTTGTATCATCCTCTCCCCCTTGTAAAGGTTCTGTCCTCAGAACTCCTTCTGCATCAAACGGTAACAAATCAGAAACATTAAATGTGTTTGAAATGTTAAACTCACCTGGAAGTTCTATTTGGTATGCATTGTCATTGATCTTCTTCAGCACTTTGAATGGACCGTCTCCTCGTGGTAAGAGCTTGGATTTTCTTTAAGTCGGGAATCTTTCTGTTCTCATATGCAGCCAAACCCAATCTCCTTCTTGAAATATTACTTCTTTACAGCCCTTAT